CATCGCTACAGTGCCAGAGGAAAACGCCAAACCGGGTGCCAGGTGGTGCTTCTTCAGAACCAGCCCCTTGCCTCTCCAGCCGCCACGGTTTTCACCATGAGAGCCTCAGAAACCGGGATCTTCGGGTTGGTTCTTAATCTGGCAATGGGGGGCAATGAGAACTGCAGTCCAATCGCATCTGGGAGGTGCCAAGCAGAGGAGGCCTGCTTGGGGAGCTGTGACTACTCCCTGGTTATCAGTTCTCTTTACCCCAATAGGCACGGAGCCATTGGGCACTGCCAGGGACTTCCTTCCCGCTGCCCGGCTCTGTACTCGGGAGCTGGCTAACGCCCAAGGTGGCCTCCTGCCTTATCTCCTCCTCCCTTATTTCTGCTTTTACTTTGGCGGGTTGACCTTCACCCCCCTTGCTGGCCACATCCTTGACTGGGGCTCCGAGGGCCTTCCTGGCGTCCTGAGGAAGGCAGCTGACAGATTTATGGGCTTCCCCTGCAGGTGACTTGATCAAGAGGCCACCACCTTTTCTCGGTGGGGCAACGGGGCTGAGCGGTGAGAGGATCTGCCCCTCCACGATCCTCCCAAAGCAATCACACCCTCCCAACTCATTGATTATTCACCATGATCCATGATGCCAAGGGCAGAAGAGCCTGTGCACTTTCCAACCTCCAACCATTCTTCATGAGGCAAGAGGGTTAGAAACGCATCTCAGGGGAAGAACTGTGGCAGGTGGGTAAGTCACTGCTGATCCCTCATTTTTGGAAATATAAAGTCCGGCCATTAATTTCAAGAAGGTGAGCTGGACAGGCAGGTGGGCACAGTCCCTCCACCTTCTGGGGCGAGTGGCCCTCCCCAGCCTCACGGCCCCAGACGTGGTGGGACTATGATCAAGTCCAGGGCACATTGCCGAAGCCAAGCAGGTTTTACGCCGTGAGCACGCCCAGGCACTCCCGTCTGTGCCACCTCCTCAGTCCCAAAAGCAGGGCACAAAGGTTAGCCAAAGACATGAAGCCCAGCTTAGGGGGCTGCTAGTCGGGGCGATGAGGTGGTGGCATCTCATTAACAGTCTACCACAGATGGCGTCAAAATGTCTGAGCTGGTCCCACTATGACAAGTCCGATCCTGTCCCCCCAAAAAGTATCTCTTCTTCTGAGTTAGGATCACTTTGCCAAACGTTTGTAGCAAAGGCTTCCACAACGCTGACACACTCACCTTCTGCCTGCAAACAACAACCTGGAAACGGTCCAAAATGAAGCACGAAGTTGCTCTGAATGGCTGAATAGAGCAACGGCGTCCCGCCGGCCGGGGCTCTAGGACCGTTTTAGCTAACAAGTTACGAGCGCTGCGGATCTCCGACCACACAGCGCGAGCATCAGCAGCCGCTTCGGGCCCAGGAGGAGCGTGTGCTCCTGTGAAGGCTGCCAAATCTCAGCTCGCCACCGGCTCACAGCACTAGGGTTGCATCTGAGCATCCCTGGAGGGACCACAGTTCTAAGCGGTGCCACCCAGGACAGCCCCAGCCCCCTCCCTGCGTTTGCTCCGGATCTCCAGAAGTCCCGCAGGGGACGAGCCGGTGTTTCCAAAACAGGAGCACCGTGCCAGAATCGACCATTCCAAAAACATTTGGGCTCAGGAAGTTACGCGACTGGAACAAGCTTTTGATTCACGCAGTGAGCGGCTTCCTCTTTCCATCGCTTGGCAAGACAAACATGAAGCCGGCAGGAGCGAGAAGAGGCCCCGACCGCCCAGGTGCCCAGGCCAATTTTGGACCAGAAGCACTGGCCAGCCACTGCCCCGGAGGAAGGATCTCCGAAAACGGGCGGAGGGAGGTGGGCAGGCGGAAGCCCGTCCTCGGGATGCCCCGTGGGCTGGCAGGTTGGGCTTGGCAGTCCCATGCCAGGCAGGTCCTCTGGCAGAGCCGGTTCTGAAGCCTCCGACGCCTCCCTTTCTGGGTGCGAAGGAGCAAGACGGGCAGGACAGTTGGCCCACTTTCTAACCCCATCAGCTGCTTGGTGAAAACCTGTTTCTTTTATGCAAGAGACACGTCTCCGGGAGGGAACTTGACGATCCTTCGCTTGCCAGACACAGTTGTCACCAACTGGAATTGCTGAAAATCTGGTGGGAAAAGGCCTGTGCAAAGCTCTCTTGGCGGACCCGAGAGGTAGGCAAGCCAGAGCTTGCCCTGCCGCTCACGGAGACCTCAAGGGGCAAGGGGCACGGCAGAGGCCCTGAGGCGGCTGCGCCAGGACAAGGTGCCCGCAAGCCTCTTATCTGAGGCTGGGGATCTCCCGTGATGCCATCGGGGCTCAGGTGCCAGAGAGGTGCCTTCGGACCCCAAAGGTAAGAGTGCTCCTGGGAGTCAGGTTCACCCAAGGAGAAAACTCTTTGCCGCTCTTTGTCGTAGCAAGCCCAAGTGTTCAGGCTCGCAGAGCCGCCACGTTCAGGCTAGCATATGTTCAGGCTCGTGCATTTGTATTTCATAATTATTTCAACCCCCCACCCCCTAAACCCGTTGAAATATCAGGCAAGACTTCAGCAAGACTGACATCACTTCTTCACCCCAACTTTTTGCACTCTAAAAGCTTTCTAAATACACCAGCCAGCATTTAACAAAGACAAGAATTTATTCTCCCTTTAATTTAGGAGCCAAGGTGTTGATCTACCAGGCAACTGAAAAGCCCACCACGGGGGCATTTCTATAGTGGCGGAACACCAATAGCTCGGAGGTCAGCACAGCAACCAGACCGAGGCTAAAGGCTGGATCTGGATCTGGATCTGGTAGAAGAGGAAGTTCAAGCTTACCTGCCCAGCTCCTCCCCGATTTCATACAGGTCCTCGACCTTTTGTTGTTTAAACACGGCCATTCCTGGACTCTTCATTGAGCAAGCTGGGAAAGGAAACCAAAGAAGACTTTGTTTTTTCCTTCCTTCCTTTCTTCCACCCTAACCCTAACCATTCAACATGACGACGATGCTTCCTTAGAACCGAACTGACTATCTTCAGTTATTCTTTGCTACATCAAAGTGTTGAGGAAAAGGATCCAGGTGGTGAGGAACCTTTCCTATCTTGTCTGCGACTCGGAACCTCCCTGGCTCAGAGGCCGGCCGGGATCGCCCTGTCCCAGGCCCCCAGGAGCCGGGCTGCCTGGGGGTGACTCACTTCTGCTCAGCTCCTGAGAGGGCCAGGAGAGGATTGCGCCTGTCGCATCTGTGCCAGCCTCACCCTGAAAGCAACACTTTGAACCTGTGCCGCTTTTCCTTGGGGAGTCAGATTCACCCTCCTCCCTGCTGATTTGGGGCAGCCAAGCGCGCGGAGCCTCAGGATGGCTGACCCTGTCTTCTAGAGAGGGACGAGGGTGCGAGAAAAACAGGGCTCTCCCCTACAACGCTTTTGCGCATCATGCAGCCCCTTCGCAGGGCTAGGACAGGAGGGCCCCCCAGGAGCTTCGTAAGGCGGATGCAGAACTTCAGCCGCCCTGCTCCCAGCCGGTGGCCGGCTGGGGTCTGAGGGAATCTTTTGTGCCACGGTGGTTGAATAAGCCACAGGCTGGCTTTGCACGCTGTGTCTGAGCCCACCCCCCGGGCCTGGAGAACTCTGCTGGATAGTTCTGGCTGAGTGGGGAATCCAGCCACGATGTCTTCGTTGGGAGACAAGGGTTAAAAGTGCGGATCAGCACGACAGGGCAACCGTGGCCTGCCTTACGCTTCACAGGCACTTGTTGGCACGTGGGCTAACCCAGCAGAGGGTGCCCCGTGGCTTGGCCTGGTGTCCAACGGCTGCTGGTGGGTCCGGGGCGGAACGCTAAAGCCGAGGTCAGGGGCAGGACCCCTCGCCCACCCTCGGTACAACCCACTTCCTTTCCCAAGACTCCCTAATCTGGCATCTAACCCCGGAGCTCCTCGTTGCCAGAATAAGCTGCAGCCAAGCTCCTTACGGCTTTCCCAGCCGAGAAGCTGCCATGATGCTAGGAAGGAAACTCTTTCCAGGAAGGGAGCTGGACGGACAGGAACTTCAGAAGCTGCTCCCCAGAGGCTGAAAAAGGCCAGACCCACAAAATAGAATGGGCGGTACATTTTCCTGGGGCACCCCTTGGAGTTTTCTAATGAGAGAGAAACTTCCTTCCTGAGCCTCAGTTTTCACCCCTGTAAAATGGGGATAATCCGAGAGGCCTGTTTGAAGGCGGCCTGTTTGAAGGCGCCCTGTCTGAGGTGGAAGAGAGGGAGGGCAGGGCAGGGCAGGGCAGGGCAGGGCAGGGCCCACACCTGGCTGCTCGGGGGACCGTGCTTCTCGGCAGCCAGGTGTAGCCACAGGGGCGTCTAGCCGTGTTGGGGGAGCAGGGTCCCAAAAGTCCAGGTGGCAACTGCCCTCTGTCTTACGCCTGCTTCTTTCATTCCGGCCCCCCGCTGGCTCCCTCTCTCGAAGGGCGCCCGAGGCAGCCTAGAAGGACGTCGGCTGGAGGCAGAGCAGCCCTCCTGAGCCGGCTGGGCTTCTCAGGGTAGCCTGAAGGACAGACGCCCCTCTCCCCCGGCCTGGAGAGCGCTGGGGGCACGGAAATGCCGGACCTTCGGCTGCGGCATCTGGAAGCCCGGATGGGGATGAGACGAGGGAGCGCCCGGGGCCTCCACGGCGGGACGAGGCCCCCTCTGCGGGAGGAGCAGGGGGCTCCGAAGTGCAGCAGCCTCTCCACGTTGAAAGACACCCGCTGGCGTCAGAAGGGGGGAGGGAATGCATTCGGCAGCCTGGAGCCCGATTAATCCTGTTTGTCCTCATTGCGAAGGAAGTGGGAGCCAGCTGTCGAGGGAAGGCTGAAGACAGGCATGGGAGTGGGTCCTCGTGCCACGCCCTGTGCCACAAGGTGGTGTGTTTGTTTAGCGCTTAGCGCGTTGTGTGAACCTAGCCAAGTCTGGCTTATTCATCTGTTAAATAAACTGTGACTGCGCAGAGCATACAACCCTTTCTTCACCTGCCTACTTAAGGAGGGCGCCCAACTTATCCATGGGAAGATCGGATGGTCTGATCTGTTGGATCTCAACCCAAAAAAAAATCAGGACAAGAACTTTTGAACTGCCTTAAAAAGGGGGTTTGTTCTAATCTCCTTAAAATGCGGCTGCCCAACTATCTTGAAACACTGGTGGAATACCTGAGATTATCTCACTATTTGGTTGAACCAAAATGAAGTTACAGGCAGCAAAAGGGCCACTGAAAGCGAGGGACAAATTGGTTCTGAATTAGTTGAGAAAACGACCTAAAGGCGTCCAATGAGTAACAAAAGTAAAATTAAGGCGAATAGAGTAGCCCCACCCCACAAAAGAATTCAGATCAGCCCCAGGCAAGAACATCAACGGAACAGCATATTGGATTAGATGATGGGTGTTTGGAAGGTGCCCTTCGAAGTGGGCGGCCAGTTGGGCAAGAAGAGGGTGAAACTCCCATAAAGAAGACTTCAAAGGGAAATCCCTTTGGGTTGTGATTTTTCCCAGAAACTCTGCTACACAGGCACCAAAATTATCCTTCCTGAGACCTAACCACCTAGAAGACAAAGTTAGCGAGAACCTTATGGCCCCTTCAATATCAACCCATTTCACAGACGTCGGAAGAAGGTGGCTTCAGCCCACAAAATCCGTGCCAAATGAAATTAATTAGGTTTCAAGAGGCCGCAAGGCTGCAACAAATTTTTGAGCAGCCTTGCCAGTATTCAAGGGATTATTGCAAGTCAAGACATAATGAAATTAATAAACCACTTATGAGATCATCTCAGCTTAAGAAGAGGTGCCTGTTGAGACAAATAGCCTGAACAAGACGGATCAGCTCCCGCCCCGAGAACGCTTCCTGCCCCTTTGCCCAAAAGCTGCCTTTCCCCTTTTGCAGCCGCCATCCCCAAGAGCTCCCCAGGAGGGGGGAGTTGGGGGGAGCCTTCTCCTTCCTTTCCAGGCCTGTCCTTCCACAGGGGAGTCCCAGCCAAGAAGGGAAACAGAGCCAGAGCCAGAGCCAGAGCCAGCTCAGGGCGACCGTCCGTAACCTCCACTGTGAATTCACGAGTCAAGCTGGACGCGAGGCCCAGGCAGGAGCACAGGCCGGACCTCCAGTGGAAGCTCGTCTGGAGACTGCCAGGCTGCGGGGGCATCAGACCGTTTCCTTGATGTCCCCTGCCCAGGATGCTCGTGGCTCTAACGCAGAAAGCAAGAGCCTCAACAGGGGCCAGCAAGGAAGAGCCTTCTTTGCTGGCTGGAAGGATTGCGGCGCCAGCCCCTTCCCCTTTAAGCATGCTCAGCGGCTGAAGGTCAGCTCTGCCGCTAATTTGGGGCAAGAGAAACAGGCTAATTACCGCTGCAACGGGGACCCGGGGACTGACGGACCACGGGCAGCTGTGGGGTGAGGGGGGGAATAAGCCCCAGCCAGGAGATTTTGGTCTCCCATCACCATTTGAAACAGGGTGGGGGAGCCTCCTCGAGGGCAGCCAAGGCTGGGAAAGCCCGGGGGGAGGCCTCCCTTCAAAGGCCGACGTTCTTGCACCAGAAGTGCCAAGACAAGGATGCCCTCTACCCCTCCAGGGCAGACCGCAAAACCCTGTAAAATCACACTGTGAGACCCTGCAGCGCGCTAAGCCTTCCAGGGGATCCTCAGTTCGGGCACAGGATGTTACCACAGCCGACCACAATTCACGGCTTCCGGCGTGGCCTGAGCCTGGCCGGTTAGGCCCAAGGTGGGAACGAAGTCCCAGCAGCTGTTTGGCAGCCTCTCCTCTGGGGGTGGGGTGGACAGAGGACTTCGCTGCCCTCTGTGAGGCTGCTCCAGGGGACTCCAGGGCAGATCGTCCCTCTCCCAGAGGGCCCCAGGAAGGGCTGGCAGGGCCGGGATTCCCAGCAGGGATTTCCTGCACCTCTCTGGCTCCCCGGATTCTTCGGAGGGAAGTCGGGGAGGCGTAAGGAGCAATGGGTGGGTCAGCTCCGTGGGTCAGCGGAGCCACAGGCCTCCTGGGGCGAAGGAGACAGGGCTGAGGAAGCCACAGGCCTGAAGGAGCCGCCCACCCATCCTCTCTTGGGGATCTGTCCTTGGACAAATGGCATTGCCTCAACCGCCCCTTCCTGCTCCCAAATTGCAACTGGAGGAAGCGGGGGACGCCGAGCGACGCCACTGGGGCCCTTCCTCTCTCTGGGACGACAGCCTGCTTCAAGGGGGGCTCCACAATCATCGTGGTTAAAGGCCCCCCCAGCAGGAGGAGGCGGCCCCGCGGCCCGAGGGAGACCCTTGAGAGCCGCCCTTCCCCCAGCAGAAGCCACTTCTTCCTCCTCCTCCTCCTCCGCTTGCTTTCTCCTAGCGCTGGTCCCCGAGAGTTTCGAGAGCTGCAAGCCGGTTGCAGCGGCTGCAGCCTCTGGGCCACGTTCACGCGAGTACCCTCCGCCCACACGAGCTTCAGACGCCAGCAGGCCCTCGCGGAGGCCCACAAAACGAAACAGAAGCAATCCCGGCTCGTAGGAAACACCTGTAAACCCAACAGACGCACGCTGGCAAACTCTGGCTGGCTGGTCTCCCGTTCGGAGCGCCCCTGGGTCAGCCGTTTTGCCCCCGGAGGAGGCCGCATCTGTGGCGCAAAGCTCGGCGCTCCTTGGGCCACGAAGGCTCCTCGGGGCTCCTGCAGGCGCCGCGTCACGGCGTCAGGACACCGGGCTCCTCGGTCGGGCTTTGGGATCAGCCCGGCTTGGCATCAGGGAAGGCGCCAAGGAGCAGGCAGCCACCTGCTGGGGGTTGTTT